GAAAAGGCGAGAAGACTTAAATGACAATCCTGCCATTGCTGCATACTACTTTGTGAAGAGATGGGAATTGTTTGTTGATTTAGTCCTCAAAAAAAAGTTCCAAATCGTTGATATGTGGTGGCGGTAAGTCAATGGACAGTTTACTTGGTACTGTTGTCTGATTTGTATCAAATGCTTAGTTATGAGTGGCAGTTTAGGGGGAGTAGCCATGTCCATGGCTTCATCTGGTTGAGGGATGCACCACCTGTGGATGATTTGGACCTCGATGATCAGGAGTCAATCCAGAACTTCATTTCTTTCTGGGATCCAATTGTGTCAACCTGGAATCCTGATATGCATGCCTTTTCCCATCAACACGCATCCTCACTATCCTATACTTTACTAGAAGACACCCAGAAGGAACTTGCAGAACTCCTTAACCGTGTTCAGCGTCATTCCAAATGCCCTTCCTCATATTGTTCGCGACGAAACAAACACACAAAGGAAGTGCAGTGCCGATTTGGCTTCCCAAAGGACCTTGATGAGCTCACTAAAATTGTCAAGGATGAGAAAGGGATCATTGATCTTTGTACAAGGAGGAATGACCCAATCCTGAACTCCTACAATGATACTGTCATCCTGGGATGGTGTGGAAACATTGACTTCCGTCCCGTGACAAGCTTCAGTGCTGTTCTGGCATATGCTGCAAAATATGTCACAAAGGCTGAATCCAAATCTCGAACATATGATGAAGTCTTACAAGCCATCCTTGACAGGTCCAATGCTTCAGACCGGGTGCAAGGGGTATATCTGAAGCTACTTCAGACCCTCATCACTGAGCGAGACTTTTCCGCACAAGAGGTCTGCCACCTTCTCCATGGCCTGAAGATGCACCATTCCACACGCTCCTACATATCTGTCCCACTTTTCCCAAGGCCTTCACTCCCACTTGACTTTGAGAATGCAACACGAGAGTTCAAGACACTCAGGGAGAAATACAGCTTGCGGCCTCATAATCTTGGCAATCTGTCCTATTTAGCATTTCTGCGGAGATATGATTATCAAAGCTATAAAGAGCGTGGTGCGAATCCACAGCGTGCAAATGCTGCAAAGGAACGGGTAACCATCATGTATCCCATCCCACACCCACACCCTGAAAATGAAGAAACATATCCCTTCTTTTGTTTTGCAAAGTTGCTTCTTCATTGTCCATGGAAATTAGGTGATGCTTGGCTGGAGGATGAGGATTGCTGGGTGGAGAAGTGGTCTGAATGGTCTGAAGACCATCATGAACTTCTAAATGATGGACTACCTTCTTTGGAGCAGAGTAGGACTGAGGATCAGGATGGTCAGGATGATGAAGATGAATTAGAGGAGCTCACTCAGGAGGAGGGTTTTAACCCAATGGAGGGTTGGCAGCTTGAAGCATTACTTGGGCCCCATCGACAGCCAGGTGTTACAATTGAGGCATTGGGGAGCAGACCTGTGGATCGTCAGCACAACTGGTGCCAATCTTCACTACCCATTGACATACTGAGGGATGCAGAAAACTTCCTGAAGGAGGCCAAAGCCATCGAAGGAGGCAGTTCAGAATTGGAATTTGCCCCTGTTGAATACCAGAAACTGAAAGGCAACCAGAGAATTGTCTTCATTCGGGTTATGGCATACTTCAAGGCACTATTTATGCACCTTCGGGACCGTATAAACCCTAAGCCTGACCCTCTCCACATTAACATTGATGGCAGTGCTGGGACTGGAAAATCCTTCCTCATTGGGGCCATTTGCACATCCCTTAATGAAATAGCTACTGAATATGGCATTCCAGGATCCCCTGTTGTGCGTCTTGCACCGACTGGGGTGGCAGCATTTGGGATCAGGGGTTGGACAATCCATTATGCTTTGGGAATTGGTGCCAAGAAGTGGGTAGGGTTGACAAATTCTGGGAAAGCACGCCTCCAAGACAGGTGGAAGGACATCAAGTTGATCATTCTTGATGAAAAGTCAATGGTTGGATGTAGAACTGCTGGAAAGATTGTCAGTCGCCTCAAAGATATCTTTCCTGAAGCAGCAGATAACCAACTGGCTGGCATGTCCCTGCTCCTCTTTGGAGACTTTTGTCAACTTCCACCAGTTGGTGAAGCCCCTTTATTTACCACAGCCAATCTGAAGCATGACCTCAGTCGCATTGGAAATCGTCTCTACCATTCTATCCCTGAGTCAATAACGCTAAAACAAATCTTCCGCCAAGAGGGTGCAGATAGAGAGCAGACACATTTCCGTGATTTCCTTCAACGTCTTCAAACCAATGAGGTCACTTTGGAAGATTTCAACCAGCTTCTGGTTCCACGCATGTGGACTAACCTCCCCCAGCATGAAAGAGAGGGTTTCTCAACAGAAATTCATCTTCTCCCACAGAATGAGCTTGTTGATACCTTTAACCTTCATCGATTAGCCTCATTGAATAAGCCTGTTGTTCGTATCAAGGCAATAAACCATGGGGCAGGAGCAGCAGCTGCATCAAAAGATGAGGCAGAAGGTTTGGACAGTGAGATCTTGCTAGCAGAAGGTGCTTCTGTCATGCTCACTCGAAATATTTGGACAGATAAAGGTGAGACATATAAATACATGGTCTTCCCCACAAGGTATTGATATAAATGCAGGTCTTGTGAATGGTGCTCGTGGGACAGTGGACCATATTGGATATGCACCAGATGCTGATCCCACTAAAGACATCCCTCTGGTTGTTTTTGTATGCATCCCAACATACACTGGCCCAGTGGATGCAAAGTGGCTATCTCAAAGCAATCCAGATTGCCCAGTTGTGCCCATTATCCCCTTCACTACACGCTGGGAGACTCGGGATAAACACTCACTTTCCCGTACCCAATTTCCACTTACACTTGCATGGGGTATATCCATCCACAAGAGTCAAGGTCTAACACTTGAAAGGGCAGTGATTGATTTGGGACCAAGTGACTTTGCAGTTGGATTATCATATGTTGCAATCTCACGGGTCAAGTCAATCAAGGGAATTGCATTCAGAACATCATTTGACCTGACCCGTCTCCAAAAAGTCAATAATCCAGAAGGTGGGATTTGGGGAATGTTGCTCCGAGATAATGTTAGACGTGAACAGCTTGATTTTCATGAAAACCCATATGATGTTGATGTATCTGAATATGTATTTTTAGATGATGATTGATTGATTGGGTCCTCTTCCTCTGACATCTATACATTATTGGCCAAGCTTGCGAGGCATTGTACATGCAGTCACATCCAGCAGCACAGTATGCCCAGAGAGTAACTGCCATGGGTTGAGACAGTGGTTTGTTGGCTGAGCTTGCAAGGCATGCATTTGTTTGGGTAAGGGCTGTGTGTGTGCAAGTGCTGAGTGTGTGGAGTGTGTGTGTGGTGTGGAGTGTGGAGTGTGTGAGTGCAGTGTGTGAGTGCAGTGTGTGAGTGCAGTGTGGTGAGTGTGGTGTGTGAGTGTGGTGTGTGGTGTGTGGTGTGTGGTGTGTGGTGTGTGGTGTGTGGTGTGTGGTGTGTGGTGTGTGGTGTGTGGTGTGTGGTGTGTGGTGTGTGGTGTGTGGTGTGTGGTGTGTGGTGTGTGATGTGTGATGTGTGGTGTGTGAGTGTGGTGTGTGAGTGTGGTGTGTGAGTGTGGTGTGTGAGTGCAGTGTGTGAGTGCGGTGTGTGAGTGCAGTGTGGTGTGTGCTGTGTGCTGTGTGCTGTGTGTGTGTGTGTGTGTGTATGCATCCCTGGAAAGTAATTGCCCATGGGTTGGGTTGGTGGTTGGGTCGGGTAGGGGGTTGGGAAGTTGGGTATGGGGCTGTGGTGTGGTGGGAACGTATCTCTTTAATAATGCCATATGGAGCAGAGCAGGACAGCCCCTGCAGTGACCAATGTGGAGTAAGGACAGGGAGCAAGTGCAGAACACATGGCTAGCTGTCTCTGATAACATTGATTTCCCTGGGTAGCATGTATATATGCAATCCTGCTTCCATTTTTATCAGTCACCTGCCAAGACTTTAACCCACATACATGTGGAGGAGTGTCCATGCACCCTCCCTCTACCTGACATCTAGGGCTCCTAGCAGATCAGACCCATATTGGCCTACTGTACTGGCACGACCAACAACCTCTTCCCATGGCCTCCAGGAGTTACTGGAGCCATAAATCAATTCAATTTTGTTGATTTTCAATTCAATCCAAGACCTTCACGTGACACGTGACAGGTTGTTGATCGTGCCAGTACAGTATCTTTGTGGGCCAATCTGAATGTCAGGGACATAGCATATGACTACATATATCACTGCATGTAGCTGCATCAGCCCATAACTCTCTCACCCCTTTCCCTGATCTGACTCCACCCCTTGATCTGAGTATCTCCCTGTTTGTTGCCTACCTCATCATTTAGTTCTGTTGATCCTTTTTCTTCCAATTGATTCATATCTCTCATGTATATAGCCCTATGTGTTGCTGAGGGTTGGAACCTCAGCTTTGTCTATGACTAGGTTTTTGGGTGATACTTGACTTGGACTGACAAGCAATCCCTGACACTGAATGCACATTTCAATCTGTGGGTATGGCTCAGATTCTTGGATTGGGTATGGAGTTTATTTACTGCAACAAATAGATCATTGCCTGAACTAAACACTTTGCATACAAATGAAGATGGCATATATTTGAAATTGCAGTACGGTTTGTTAGAGGGTTCCTCCCAAACTGGATGGCCAAGCTTGCAGCGCAGCGCCGAAGGCGCTGCAAGCTCGGCCATCCAGTTTGAGGGGAACCCTCATAACAATTGTAGCCTGGTATTCAACCAGGGGGTGCCAAATACTGAACCCACATGACCAACTACCGGTCACGTGTCATGCTGGCCTCCCGGTCCGGCCGAAATGACGGTCATGTCACGCGTCACGCTGGGGGTGCAGTTGAACAGCCTGTGTCACACAAATTCCTTGTGACAGCTCAGTGGCTATGCAATTATATTTCAAATGCCCTTTTTAGTAATATTTATATTAGAAGTGAAAAATCTTCATCTCCTCCTCCAAATTGCGTGCCCACCTTGCTTGCATTCCACAGCCAAGATCCAAGCTGAGGCTAGAGGAAGGGAGCATGGTGATGTCATCAAGGGTGTCGGACTCAGCTTCCTCAGCACAAGTCCGTCCCGCTTGTAGGCCACCATCAACTTCCTCGAGTCCATCAGGCACATTCCCAGCCACATGCTCGAAGACCCCATCCACCATCACATCAACATCATCTTCTGGGATATCCGGGAACTCCCGCTCATGTACAGTAGAGTCAGGACCTGAGTAGATGTCACCCCCAATGTGTGGTGGCTTTCGTGGTGCCGTGATTGCTCTTGTGAGGTCAGGATCGGTCTGGTGAAGAGTGTTGAGGATTACATGTAGTGGACAGCTGGTCAGGTGTCAGGGCATGCTGCCGCCGCTGCCGCCACCACCTCCTTTCCTTTCGTCTCATCCTCTTTTTTCTCCCTTCTTTCCCTCTTCTCTTTTCCTATCTTTATACGGAGGACCTCTCTCTTTCTTTCCTACACTTGTAGCACGGACGTGCCCGACGCTGAGCACCCCGTAGGGGCACCGCCACGCCGGACACGCCACGCACTCCTACTTGTACTTCCCCTCCAACACTCGGGATCGACTGCGGAGCCACCCACGGTAACCCGGCTTCATCCGAAGGTGACATGGCACTTCCACGTGACTCATTCACACATGTATATAAACTAAGCCAAAGCAGGACCGAAGAAGTAACCTTCTTCTCATTTCCCACTTCAGGCAAGTACCCTAGTTTAGTCTAGCTTCCCACCCTAATAACAATATATTTCCCGCTTCAGCCTAAGAAGCCACACAGGGATGTAAGCCCGGGTGAGGGCTGCCCACTATACGGTCTTACCGCCCCGCCACCGTCTGGGCCGCTAGCGCCGAGCGCTACGCCGCTACCCCTCGAGCCGTCCCTGACATCAGGCTGGAATGGGAGAGGTTAAAATCACCTGAACAACATAGTTGAAAGGCCTGTATTTTGTTAGCACCATAGTTAGTAGTCATAGTGTTGTTCCTCACTTTATGAATTTTATCCTGCTGATTCATAACATGGAAAGTATGAACCAATGTTTCAGGGACATGGTCCCTCAGTACAGGAAGCCTGGTGTCGAGTTTTATATTGCATGAGGAGATCCCATTTTGCAACTGAGAGTAAACCTCTCGCATGGCAGCCGACTGCTGTGATTGCTTTACTGCATGTTTCAGTGGACGCTGGATGCCAACGTCACAGGGTTGCCATAGGCCCGTGCATCCACCTGGAACATAGTCAAGTATGATCCAAGGATAGTTGTTGTACATCCAGATACGAAATTCAAGAGATGTATGAACAGGCCACACATCAAGTTGCCAGATACACTCCTGCAGCGGATCGAGAGATAGCCGTTCCTTTGCAGCGCTAAAGTAAGGAGCCAGTATATGTGATACGAAAGATTTCATTGTTGTAAGGTTTGCCCAGTATGTATCATTTCCAGAAAACTCGAAAATAAAGCCAAGTTGCATGGCTTCGTCATGACTAGGGCATGTGTCGAAGGCAAACTTGCTGGGGTCTTGCCACGAAAGATGGCCTGGAATGGCAAAAGAACCCTGCTAGCAGAAATGGCCACATTTAGAGTAAATGCATGCTTCTCATCATGCCCCACAGTAGAAACTTGACGGGATCCCTTCCGTTCGTATGTGGAGGCTGAATTCTGTTGATAGATCACTTGTGTCTGATCTGAATTCACCCAAAGACTATCAGGGATTGCATAGTGGTGGATGGAGTAAGCTTGACAAAGCAGTGAGCAGTGGATTTTTTTATCGGCATCAGGTGGGATCTTTTGCGAAGCACGAGTTGCCTGTCTCAAGCTCCAATTCATTTCTTCTCAGAGAAACCTCCGGACCCATGTCATGCTCACAGCGAACACACTCCCATCTTCCTTCACAACAGTTCTCAGGATTCCGGGCTGGGTGTGTTGAATTTGGGCAATGATGATGCCACGGATTTGGTGGGTGTCCAATGCAGCACCAGCCTGTTGGATGCCCAGCAGTGTTCGCTTGATTGCAGCGATTGTATCTGGATAGGATGCCTGTGTGTCCCAATTCCTTCTTTAAGTTTTTAGAATACTACTAACCATTATAGACTCACCAATATCCCCCTCTTCATAACATTGCCTCCTGGACAATTTTCTTTTGCAACCTTTGCGAGCGTTTTGTTGGACCAACGTGGACATGACCCCGTGTGATCAATCCACTTACCAACGACATCAGGACACAATGAGTGAAAGAGCCTTGGGCTTCTCAATTGACATCCTTTTGTTATTTCAGTGGGACTCATGTGCCAGCCAATGGTCACTGCTACTTCAATTATTATTGTCCAGAAGGCAGGCTGGAACCAGTTTGTCGCCATCGCAAACTTGTGCACTCTTTGACTATGAGGGTGTATTGCATTGTGAGTGGTCTTTCTGCACTTCTGTTCTCTCAACCATTGCTGAATATGACGCTTCAGCCATGACATCTCTGCGATCGGGACTGGCTTGCTTGGAGCACAAGTATTTGGTTCCATGTTGAGCAAGCGCTGAACATTTCTTTTCATTAGAGGCCACAGGGATTCTACTGAATAAACTTCACCTTTTTCTTTGTGCTGTTGCTGCCCATTTCCAACTTCGCTCTGTGATGCCATTGTCTTTCCCATGCTAATGCTCAACTCCTCTCCAACTTCTGTCTTTCTGCATGTTGCTGTGCCAATTTCGCTTCCTCACATCTTTCAGTGATTCTTTCAAGTTCGATTGATTTTTGCTTCTCATATTCCTCCTGACTTACTCGGCTGAAGAACCACAGCAACCCATGTTCCTGAACCCCCTTTGGCATGGCCAAGTCCAACTTCTGTTTTTTTCCCTTCGATTTTCTGACATCTGAACTAACTGAGGACCCCACCACGGCTCTGCTAGCTCCTTGATTTACTGGGTAAGTCGGTTCCGCTACTGTTAGGAGTCCCGTCAAAGTTTCCATTGCTGTCACTTGGATCGTTGCTCAGTTTCTGCTACTGGGGTCATTACTGCAGGGGTAGCCACCAATGATGAGAATGCCATTGGCACTGGCTTGGCTATCACTGGGTCTGATGGTCCAGTTATTTCTGCTGAGGTCGCTACCTCTGAGGTGGCTGTCACCATCAGGGCAGTTGCTTCTGGGATAGGCATTGCCTAATAACATGTCGGTGAGCTTGTTTTATCTGCTTAGCTATGTGTGGTCACTCACCTGTGCACTATGGTGGTCAAGGATTGATGTGATGAATTTGACACACAGCATTGCGATGTCTTTGCAAAGTGGGTATTTCATTGGAATAAAACAGTTCATCAACGCATTGAGAGCAAAGAAACCACATGAAGTGGCATCATTTTGATAAGCAATCGGCAGCAGCGCAACATGAAATGGAAGAACTGATTGATTTGATTCCAGATAAGACATGTTGAGCCACCATTGAAGAGCATTGACTGCCTCCTTGGCTGCGATGTCAACTCCTGTTGGCTGGTGTAAGGAGTCTGCAAGGTAAATGGTTGATTCTGTGGCAGAGATCACAAAGGCAACCCAATGATTGTTGTTGATGTGAGTGATCCCACCAAACTGAGACATAGTTCCAGATGAGAGCTCAGAGCCAAATCTGCAGAGAACTTTGCAGGTACAATCATTTGTGTATCTTTTGTGGCCGTTCCAATCCAGTTGCGTGGCACATCCAGTCAGGTACTGGACATCAATGGGGCTGAAGAGCCTAGCATGTATTCCGTGGGCCTCCAAATCCCTTTCCAGAAGTTCTATGTGGTATGAGATATCAGTGGTTACGAGACAGGATAAGGTGAGATGACGTATCAGTCCCCCAATTGAACCCAAAATTGATTTTGAGAATCCAAGGACTTCGGTATTCCATTCGCATGACAGGAGTCGATTTATGGCCACCTTGATGGCAATGCAGTGAGTAGGGAAACGGCTTGCCAGTTTCTCAACTTGCGCCTCTGACTCTCTCCACATCCTCTGGACATTGTGAATCTGAAATAGGACTTCCCAAATTCGGACAATGCTGACAGGGACATAGCGGATGCCGATTTTTACTGAACAAGGTGGGTTATCGTCATTGGGATCATATTCAGAAATGATTTTCTTTATGATAGGGCAGCATGGGCAGGGCATGTTGCGGAGGTCACTTTCAGCTAATGCTGTGACAGAGGGTGGGTGATTACTGAGAGATGCAGATGTAATTTGTAGATTTGTTTGGAATGATGGGAGTTTGAACTGGAGAAACCCAGCAACGGACAGGGTGTGTCTGGGAAAGTAGGACCCAATAAGTGTATTTGGGATACCGCTGTACAGGATGGGCTCATCTGTATGAGAGCAGATATGTCGCGCCAGAGCAAAACCATCCATACTTAGGTGCAAAGAAATTTTAAAGGGAAACTCATTTTCAAATTAATCACATTTATTCTGGCTACCAAACATGACCATCAGCATGTTGGTTTCCTTCTGGATCATGCTCCCACGGTCAAGGTCACGCGCCTGCCGGTCGGGTTGTCACGCATCAAAATGAGCTCCCGGTTCATCACCTGGCAGAAATTTTGTGTCATGCTTGGGATGCACCAGTAGTTGGTCGCGTGGGTACAGTATGGCGTCGTATCTGTTGATGTTGATGACATCGAAGTAATGTTTTCTCAACATGGTCATTGGTCTCGACACCCCATGTTCATTCTGAACAAGATTTTTGATCTTGTTCCTTTCATCCCCATTTGGAGGATGACCGGATTCTCCAACTGGAGAATTGGGATGTGGACCGCACGGACGAAATCCGGCGATATCACATCCGTTTCGGCCCCGCTGTCAAACAGCACATAGGCTCTTACACCTGCTATTTTGATGTGGGCCATCAGCGTTCTCTTAGTAGAGAGCGGTCTGTTCGTGGGATATTTCCCCACGTCTTTGGAGATGCGACATTTCGCATCGAATAAGGGATCCTGAAAATCTCGCAATGTATGGGCGCATTCACCAGTGCTGCGACTGGAACACCTTCTTCGCATTGTCCGTAAGCATCCATTGTCACGTCGACCCAGGTTAAGGGACTGGACTCTCGCTAGACGTCTGTTTGTGGAAGTGATTAACATTGTCCGCAACCATCTGAATCGATCTCAGCACGGTGACAAAACTGCGAAGGCTCCCATCGACGCGCGCAATTACACTAGTCCCAGCTGCTGGGTGTAGCCCTTTGCGCCTTCAGACTTTGTTGAGTCAGAGTTCTTGTCAGCGGGATCAGCACTCATGACGTGTGCATGCCTAGGGGCCTTGCGACTTGTCGGCGCAGTCATTAACGCTGATGAACACTTCGACGGTCTGCTGATATTTCCCACATTAATGTTTGATATTCAACCATGCAACTCACGTTTTCCATTCTCGGACTGCATCGCAACTCACCCTGAGTTCCACGGTGCCAACGTTTTCCGTTCTTCTCCCACCCCCAGATCATCGGAAAATGTGCTCGACCACTTCCCCACAGGGAATTCGCTACCGCCCTTTGCCGAAATGTCTAGTAAGGAACTTGGAAGAATCAGGGTCGAGTTGCAGCCTCCGAGCATTTGTAATGCACTGGGCCTTTTACTTCATCGGCGGAAGGCACAAGCTATTTGGGCAAGACAGCTTTTCACGGAGCCCTAGTATGGCTGTCAGGAGTAAAGTATTGGCGAGAGCTGGGTATCTTCACAGCTTTCACGATAGGTCAATCCAAATGTGCTGATAACTAACCACCTCCGTTCTTGTCTCAACTAAATTGATCTCTGATCAGTCACGACCAAGCAGATTGGACCATGCTCACCTTGTCAACAACCATCGTCCATCGTGGACAAGGTGTATGTTACTCCTTGCAGAATGCAAGCTCCAACAAGAGCTGCGGGGTCATGATCGAAAAGCGAATGAACCAGGAGACAAATAATGAGGCACTGACCTCCCAACCGCCGCTGCCTAACGAAAAGATATTAGATCCCGCCACATCTAGGTCAGTTCCTTGCTGATCACTTATGCATCTTCTACCCTCGCCTTCTTGACCATATTCTTTACCCCTCAACATGCTAGTCTCTCCGGAGATTATCTGGACTATGCTAATGTGTATTTGACTTATATTCGATTAGGTTCACATTCGGAGCCTCCTGTCGCACCCAAATTTCAACTCTAAGACACGGTCAAAGCGTAGCACGCCATGGCGACAACCAGCCCCTTCTCATCGGATGATAAATAGTCTCCTCGACGATGCAATTGCGCGCTATGGACACAAGCTTGGTCCAAAGCAAACGGACGGAGATTCGGTACCGAATTTGAATGGACTCGCTCCGTGTTCCTTTCTCCAGCCTCAGTGCTGTTTTCCTTCTTGATGTTTTCCACACGTCTCCCAATGCGCGTTGTACGTGCTAATACGACTATTGAGCCACTTTTACAAACGTTTCTGGGTCCTTGATGCATCGGTTTTCTGTTCCATTTCCATTCGAATCATTGGCGCTTCAACGCCAAATCCACACGGAAAGTTCTTTGTGCCTCATCCTGGTGTCTCAAACACTAAACACTTTCCTGGCCACATTGCACGCATTGTCGTGGCCATTTTCGACCAAAATCAGTCTTGTCGCTATACTCAATCACTGAAACACCTTGAATACAGCGCTCTAGCTCCAGTTGGTAGTTACTCACAGCACTGCTAATCTATGATTATCAGCCCCGTGATCGGGGCCAGGTCGATGACTTCTTTTGCTCGATCGAGATCAGGTCCCTTCCTAGAAACCCTTCGCTCTACCTCCGCAATTAACCTTTAATGATCGCTGATACTGCGTTGGGTGACGTGGTGATTAGGTCCTCGGCGGTGCAGGGTGTCCCCAGGGCGTCCCCAGGGCGTCGTCTGCTTTTTATATCCGAAAAGTTTTTGCGACACGCCTGCCGCAGTTCAACATCGAAAGCACAACCTAAGATCGAATTCTCATTGGCCGAAGTCAAGTCGCGAGGCCGAAAATCAGAGAGCTCAGTTACAAAGCCCGTCGTCCAGCTTCTATCGGTGGCGAGGGATTTACGTTGTCGGGGTCCCCAATGTGGCGCAAAAATTAGAACCGCTCTATCGCCTGGTAGTGGTCCAACGGGCTACCAAGTGTGCTGATTTGGTTGTCTGGCCAATTCAGGAATGGGAACTCCGCGGATATGGAAGGCACTCCTTGTGGCATCGGTTGAAGCCAAGCTGTTTCTCCGCGGGAGCGTGCAGGTATTCTCGAAACTATTGTTGTGACACTGCCGTCCCCTCTTGGGCGAGACAAACTACTCCAGCACTCTCCATTGAACGCTGTGGTCGCAGCAGCCATATTGGAAGGTAAATGATCAACTCCGCTATAGCTTCATTCTAGGCTTATAGTCGGATGGTTTCTCATATCTACGCTCTGCCTACGGCAGGCGTCTTGATCCATCTCAAATTAAGCCTCGAGATTCGCGTCGTTCACTTGTTGCCATGAACAACTTATTACTTGCACAACAGACGTATAGTGTTCAATGGCACATTCTTGAGCTCGGCAGCTGCTCCATTCTGTGAGATCAGTACAAAGTTTTTGCCGACGTTGAGTCAATTTTACTCTTGCTCACTTCACCAGCCCCTATTCTGTTTTGCTTTCCTTAGCGATGTGGCCAACCAGTGATATTTATTGCCACAGCGGCGGAGTAGCGTATCACGCGGTGGCTGGGGTTTATGTAACTACATTGGGCGCATACGGTGAGATCTAGATCTTAATATCACTCGTTGTTTGCCGTCGCACCTCGCACCGGTTCACAGGCCTCCTATCTTGGTCATGCCCAATTTCGCTAGGGTCAGATGACGGGTGCGGGCACTTTCCATGGAAGACAGCCTATATCATGTCGTCTTCATGTTCATGAACTTGTAATGCTCGTGCACTGTGTGCGAAGAGCATGACCTCACCCGAGACTGCCTTAATTAGCAGCTTCACATGTCAACACTCCATCAGTGCGAGTGTGAGGCTCCTCTCGACGAAAGTGGAATGTACTCCATTTGAGTGTTTGCACTTTTTGTGATAGCGCGTGTGCACCCCAATGGAATGTGCAAAATGACGACTGAATCATTAACTTGTCACGCGCCTGCATCCCCAGACACTGCTGATCGCTTGATCATAAGCGTTCAGCACATAGGGGTAGCTTTGGAGGAAAGCAAGTCCAAACTTGAGAAACGAGCATATGTTCTAACTGATTTCCCTATTGTCAGCTTCCGTTTTAGATGTATGTCAAAGATCTTCGAGGTACAGCGTGTGCAGATAGGTGTAATTACATAGGTCACACCAAAAGGTTTCATATGGCTTTTTGTCGATCACAGCGTGCCAGTGATTGAGTTTCGTTGATGAAACATTCCCGGTGGTGAAAGATGCACAGCTCAGGAATTGGTTGATGACCGCGCGCGAGGGTCCCGAAGGAATCGATTAGTTTTCAGGATTTCCTCGCATCCACACCATGCCAATACTGTGATCGGCACCCCTTAACCGTTTCGTAGGCACCTTGTAGCTTCTCTGACCCTTGTGCTCTTCGAGTGATGTTGGAGTGTACAGCATGCCTCGTTATGATTCACCAGACACTCGGATCGATCGGCTCGGAACTGTGTACGTACGCGGGGTGACGTGCGGGGTAAATATGAACACAGGAAAACACGAGGCTCAAGTTTATCGAGCCGCGATGGCGAAAACCAAGAAAAAGGAGGCAACTCGACCCTGGCGGTATCCCTCCTGACCTTCAACTCCTCTTGTTTCCCTGAACAGACATTATCCGCAAACGTGGGGTCTTCGACTCAGAGTCACAGCTCGGGTTGCTTCTGCCACTAATATATCACCCCAGAAAATATGCGCGATCTCAGCCACACATACTTCGGGTATACACACCGATCCTATCGATACCGCCTTTGACCGCCTTTTTCACCTGTTCAACCACCTGTCCTCGCATACCCACGCGGACTTACGAACATGACCACTAGCGCGTTTGTATGATCCCATCACGAGCCCATATCCAACCATCCTCAGTCCCCGAACGAAGCATTCGTCCCGGTAAGTAAAGGAGCAACTTCATTTCATTTTGTTGGATTTTGTTGGGCCATTTTAGATTAGGGCAATGTAGTCCTATCTTTGTTGTTTGGGGATAGGGTCGAGATATATATAACGTGTGATGCTCTTATTCAAAGATTGCCTGCCCGATTGTTATCTTCCCGCATGTACAATTACCATTGGAAGCAGCTGATCATGCGGTCCGCAATCGGAACATGCGAAACGTCCTTGGAAGCCATGAAGAGTAAAGCTAGCTTTCTCGCTAATGAGTCCCAATTTGTTTGGCCGTCCCGGGGGGATTTGCTTGAGCCCCTGGCCGCCTGTATTCTTGTAGCTGCGTGAATCGTTCGCGTGTCACCATGTAAAGATGGGGAGAAATTGCCTCTGTGATCACGATGAGCGATTAAGGCATATTGGCTGAGGCGAAAATGTGTTGCGCTCTCGGCGTCAGAATTTGCATTGGTCCCACAGCACTGAAGAAGGGCCCTAGCAACTTAAAGGCTCAACGCTCGACCCTTCACTAGGGTAACGGAAGGGACCTGTACGATGACTGTCGTCGAAGTGGACAAACGTGCGACTGGAAGCCTGCCGCGGGGGCACCGTAGTGGGAGATGTGGTCAAGAAATACGGGTCTGACGGCTCTGTGCCTCCGTTGAAATGCTGACTCCTGATTTCCTGGTATAGCGCCGGCTAAGCCGGTTGCCATTCCGGGCGGCCGCATGCAATTCCTCTTTGTTCCCCCAGCAAGGAAGGCAAACACGGTTGATGTATAGAGAGTGTTGTTTTTCAAGCTTCCGAGGCTTCTAAATAGGAGAACGGTTGGGAGGTTCTTCCTTCGCCAATCGAGGGCCCTCATTCACGCTCAGGCCAATGGGTCTAGGTTGTGGCAAGGTGAACAATGACACGGGGCCAAAGCGTCCACACGTTGGTCACGGTATCTCCTCGGTAAAGGATGATGAGAAGGGATTTTATGACGCCGGCATCTGTTGTAGCCTGCCCAATTGCGCAAGATCGCCCTCCCAGCTTCAGGGCTGGACCACAAGGAATAGTCCGTTTCTGTAGTCCTGCAGAGCGAACGTTGCCGTGCTGTTCTTGGTACATTCCCGCGGCGGAAGCGAGCAGAGCGAGAGGTGATTGCGCCGGAAATTCCGTAAGAATTGCAGGGGAGAAATAAATTCTCGGAATATTACATATAGTACACTGGAAAGAGTAGCACCCTTAAAGAATTCATGAATCCATATTTACTAGTATACCATCACAAATATTTCCAAAAAGAAGAAATCCAAGGGAAAAAGATAAAATAAGATAAAATCAACACAAAAAGATTGAAGCGTCCAACTTGAAGAAGAATTCAAGACATTTTATGAACAGGTCCATATAAGATTCTTGGTGAGCTCACGGCTCACCCTCCCAATCCATTCGTGTCCCGACTCTTTCTCTTCCTTCTGTTGCCAACGAAACCTCGCTAAGCCTCCAAAGATTGTCTTCCTGCATGCCATGATGGCGTTCCGCGCTTCTTCTGCTAGACACCTGAACGTACCCAACAACGAGGATGATCCAACATCTGACTTTGAGGACGGCGCACCCGTAAAGTCTCTCAATCCTAACAGTATCCACAGTGGCAAGCAGAGCTTCATCCAAGAGGACCCAAAGATTGACCACAGAAAGAAGAGGAGGAACAGAACCACGCAATCTTGCTTGTCCTGTCATCAGAATAAGAGAAAGGTGCGGGTCGCACGGTCCCTTTGAAGGCCCTTTCCTTCATCTGATCACCTTTTTCATGGCGCTTAGTGTGATCGAGGTCGTCCCTGTGGCAGATGCATCACTCTGGGCTTGGTGAGCTGATCCTCCATTTCACTCTGCTGTCGGGCCTTAGCGTCGAGGTCTGAGTCCGCCTCACATCAACGCTCTCGCTTATCGCTCTTGATATAGACCGGTTTCTGCGTCTACGAGGTCGGCGAGAAGACACGGTGAGTTCCTCTCTTCCAACACAAATCACACCCACATGTGGAGATCATATTGCCACTTCACACCTGATTTGCCACTACCCCTCTTTACTCGCTTTTTCGCCCCTTTCCTTGTTCCCAATACTCATCCGATCATCTTTCTCAGAGATAAAGATACAGATGAAGTAACAAGCCTCCGGAATCGCGTTGCTGAACTCGAAGGCGTCGTCCGCGAACTAAAGAACAAGCCTCAACCTCGCTGGGCTGCCAACGCAATCGTCCAACAGTCCTCGATGGACTCACCCCATTCTGCCTTCCAGCCCCCTCCATC